AATTAAATTGTGTGTCGGGGCCATCAAATAACACACACCCAACTGTGTATTGAAATTGATAAAGGTACACAGATTATACTGAAGACATGTTTGCATACACCTCACCAATTCACTTCCTTCGACTTTTAAAATATTTTCTTCAGAACGGAAAGTGTTTCTTGAAATTTCATATCCAAAAGTATCCAGTTTTGCGCACATATTGTCCCTCGCATAAACAACCGACAAAGATATGATTAAAACAAAATTTATCTCCAAAACCATTTCTGTAATATTAACAGATCAAAAATAAAATGAATCCGTGTTATTTGTTATAGTTTCCGAGTCTTACGGGTAAACAATAAAATTAATCCGTGTTGTTTGTTTTAGTTCCCGAGTCTACAAAGAGTCTAAATTCTCTGATGAGTTCTGGTTTGTCAACACCCCGATCCTGTTTTACGATTCCCTTATGAAAATCAACACGGGTTTTTGACCCAAGTCTGTATTGTCGGCGATATCACATAGGTAGAAGCGGGTGATATACAAAACTGTTTCACATGCACAACCACGTTTGATGGGTTCGATGCAAAAATAAGTAGTTGTGTGAACTCCACGTTTAAGTTGACAATTATATATTTTTATGGTTCCGACGACTTCTGACTTCTGTAACTATGGTTTCTATTTTACAAACTGGACACCCTTCACTCGACTCTTCATAATAAATATTGTGTTTATTGTAGCTGTGTCTCTATGGAAACCCTTTCGGCGAGGGGGCCGCGGTGGGTCAGTGAGTAAGACACTGGATCGCTAACTAGGGGATCTCTGATTCGTTGCTGGTGTTCTGGTTCAGTAGTGCAGGGCGGGGGATTTGTTAAGGAACATTATATTCCCGTGCATGTAAAAGAACCCTTGACAAATTGAATTTGACTCCACTGTTCAGGCAACATTTTCTTCAAAGCGTATGACTGTCTTCATTAGCCGAGTCGGTGCAGATGAGTAGAGCGGTAAATGTTGATATTTACGCTTATTTGTTCTATTCAAGAAACCATTCTCCGTATAATAATTGGACTCCATAATTTACACGCTACACTTTACTGTTCTGTCCAAGATGACGGTGTAATTAAACAATGACAGAATGTTTTTCCTGCTCGAGAATCGTCGCGTTTCGACTTGTTGGTCGTTCTCATTTTTCCGACCCATGGTGATAATAGTATTTTAAACGATAATATCAAATGTATTCTTTACTTTGCATGCCGTATGAAGCGACAGTAAACTGAATTCAACTGTCAATAAATCATCTTCGAAAAGAACATTTTTGGCTATTTTGTTTATTTCAATTTCAGGCCTATATTTTTTTTAAAGACGAAACATCGAGATATGAGATAATTACCGCTTGTATTAATCATTCGGAGGGGCGCAACTCTTTCTTACTTGACTTTGCCAAATATACTGGATAATCGACCATATAAAAAGCCAAACTCCATGTTACGCATGGTTGTCTACGATACCATCTATGATGGAAGTAGACGTAAAACTTTAGGAACGAAAGAACGAACGTTACGCATGGGCAGTGGAACTTTTCGTCAAATATTGACAACGGTCCCAGACCCTCTGTACATTAAAGACTAGGAGGTTCTGGGTGGCCGAGACTATCGAATCAATCCAAACGTATCAACACTTACCATAAATGATGAGCTGTAGACTGCCTTATCATTGGTATTATAAAACAATTAATCTTTAATCCGTGACAATTGATTACAGATTGAAATATTACTCAATGACACAATCCGCTTTATTAATTTACAGTGTTGCGCCACGTGGTTTTGATTAACACTCAACGGCAATCTATATACGATCAGAACTAAGGTTTTTTTCTGACACTTCTCAAGTTCCCATAAAACAATATCGCAAAAATCAAATTTCTATCGCCCGATTGAGCCCGGAAGCAGCCACGTAACCACAATGCTTTGCATGCGGTGTCTGGGTCAAACAGCAAACGAGTTGTGTGGACAGCATATCAACAAGCGGGATTTGTTTACATTTTTTAGAGGGTTTTAAAAATCGTTTGCATTCCTTAAAAAATGAATTCATGGGCAATACTTTGGTCATATATATTTATAAACTAGAGATTCTCCGCTTTACAACGATGCCAAGTATCATATAAGATGAATAACTGGTCGTCCCGTTGCAAGCCGAGACAAATAACTAATTTCGCTGAGAATTTAAGAAAAAGTAACGATTAAAGAATACGGTACTCTTACAGAATCTTCAAATAAAAGAGTTTGAAAATCTTTTATTGCAATTTTGATCTTTTTGGTCGATAGAAAGTATATTTATAGACTAATTGTTGTGAAAATCTCAATTTCGATCAAAATCAATATTTTCAATTATTATCAGATTTTTGGCATTCCGACTCATTTTGCGCACACGGGTCACATTTGATCTGGCAGATAGTTGATACATCCCGCGGTAGAGTCAATATCTCGAAATAGTCGATTCATGTCACTGTAGACTTAATATCTCTAAATAGTCCATACATGCCGCTGTAAAATTAATATCTTGAAATAATCTAGATCTCGAAAAAGTCCAAACATGCTACTGTAAAATTAATATCTCGAAGTAGTCGACATTCGCCGCTGTAAAGTTAATATTGTAAAGTAGTCGATATTCGCCACTTTAGAGCTGATATCAGAAAGTAGCCAATACTTAATACTGTATATACGTTATCGCAAAGTAGTCGACACATATCACTGTAATTGGTATCGCAAATTAGTCGAGATATGCATCTGTAAAGTAGTCGATACATGTCACCGTAAGTTGATATCGCAAAATATACAACTGACGGTAGTTTTTTCGTTGATGTGCATAGATGTTATAACTCATGACGTCATCATAGGTTGGTATATTCGGTTTATATCAACCTGTCATGACGTCATCTCAGGTGTTTGTGGATCTTAATTTGGTGCGATAACAAGAAATATTCTATTAGCAATCTTGGAAATAGGAAATTGTTTAGACCAGACTTTATTGTATAAACAAACTAACTAGTTGGATTCTTCCAAACAGCTTTAGAATATGTAATTATGTTTTCTTACATGCAGTTCAATATAGAAAATCATGTGATTCTTGTACTTATACATTTAGCCACCTACGGGTAATATGACGACAGACCCAGGACCCAACGGTATATTAGTATTGTATTACAGATAGTTGTAACATTAAGACGCTGGCATTTAGTTAGCTAGAAACTTTCCCCATGTAAGAAAACTAATGCACTTTTAAACATTACATTATATTATCCACTGTTCGCCTAGCTATTGTTAAGCGCCGGAATTTATTCACAAAAACAATCTCTTATGTGAATATAACATACAATTGTTAGAGAAACTATTGTACAATTATGTTACAGATTTATATTACTATTATAAAGACGCTGACTTCACCAGCCACCATGTACTGATATATATAATTCTACTCTCGTAATTAATCTTAATTTGTAAATATCCCATTAATATTATGAATTCAATATTTACCACAGGAAATATATAGTTATATATAGCACAACTTCTCCAGTGGAAAAATTCCGAAATATTACTCGGAAATTATAAGAGTCGTGTGGAAATGTCCCAGTAGAGATCCTTTATTTTGTACCATGTCTTGTAGTAAGGTCTCTATTATAGGGACTATATTCCTTAATTCCATTATTATAAATATACTATTATTGTAGTCCATACATGATCCAGATATATTTTCTGATAATTTACACCTTTAAATTTCAAATACAGGCATCATTTAAAATGTACATAGTGTTATTTTAAACCCTCATCCCGGTGTTGGCCGACAAAGTTTATCGGGATTTGTCAGCGCGGTTTCCTATTATCACTGGATGGATACTCGTTCGGATTGGACGTAACACCGAGGTCCCGTGTACATATTGGCGTGCACGTAAAAGAGGCATTGACAGTTGGAATTCGCTATAAAAGTAGACTATAGCGTCACTGTCCGGGCAAAATCTTCATTATAGTACACAGTATGACGTGACTACCAATTATAATGCATCCATAATACAACTTTTATATACAGGACACTACACACACCGCATGTTATCTCTATTTCTTTTAAGAACCCCGCATGACGTCGGTATCCAGGGCTCTAAGCCAAGGACGCCGTAGGAACGTCCTTCTGAGAATAGCAAATGATGTCTCTCTATGAACTCGAAATGATGTCTAAAAAAACTTAAACCCCACACGTTCTTATAATGAGGCTACGTGCATGAGTCATGGACAGAACCTCGAGAATTTGGCTAGGAAAGTCCATTATCTGATTGGTCAGTTGTTCAGAAGCTACCCCGGATTTAAATATAATGTACTAATATGAGCACCAAGAAGGGCGGGTCTTCAAGTTTTTATACATGGGATTACCATATCTGGATTACAAGACTATGATGTCATTGCCCGATCTTATATGCAAGGTATATCTCAGTAGCTCGGTTCTTGTTGTGGCGTGTACTAGCTAATGACTTCAAAACATTAAGCAGAGCACCTTTCATAGAACGGAAATAACCCCTATAGTATTACATATAAACATCTTTAATTCGCAAAGTCCAAGCAGAACAGTGTGGCCTTAACCCCATTTCATACGGTCACGGTGGCTAAGTGGGTAGGACGCTGGCTCGCTAGCCTAGCGGTCTGATGTTCGATCAATGCATTGGCCGAGAAAGTTCACCCAGATTTTCCGGCGTAGTTCCCCCTTGTCAGTGATGCAGGAAGGGGGGCCTGACAAGGACAGCTGTCCAGTCATTCGGATGAGACGAAAAACCGAGGTCCCGTGTACACATTGGCGTGCACGTAAAAGATCCCTTAACAGTTGAAATTAGATATAAGAGTAGGCCGTAGTGCCGCTGTCCGGGCAAAATTTCCGTCATAGCACACTGTATGGCGTATGCCCGTCTTCATTAGCCCAGTTCGGAGCAAAACACTAGGACGTTAAACCCCATGTCATTTCATGCCGTTAAAACAACTGCCATTTATAAGAAAGTGTCATGGTCTGTGGCATAAAGTTATAATTTATTTACTACGACATGAAAGGAAAATATTAAATCAAAGTAAGATATATTAAAAACAAAAATCAGTGGATGATGTTTTGTTACGATTGAAACCGTATGAACAATGTGTACATTAATAGTGTATATTCCGAGATTTTCACGCATCATTAACGACTTTGATTGTCATTGACGAAAGAAATAATTATTAATATAAAGTAGGAGTAACAGGTTTATTGTCAAACATAACAATAACGAAAAGAAAAATATTATAGCAAAGTGAAATCTTGTAGTGATTTTCATGCTTTACTCCCCTGTTTATTATTTGTTCTAAAAGCACCTGTTAATGTAATATGAATGTATGCAAGGTGATTTATTTTCACTTTTTTAAAGAACTATTCTAATTTCTGTAAAGTATGTTTTGTGAAATACGTGAACAGTTCAAATTAAGAGGTTTAATAAAAAAAAAAAAGTGGTATTGGAAATGTTACAAATTAAGAGGTTTATTATAAAGTGATATTGGAAATGTTACAGATTAACAATAGTTAGTAACTTCATGTATCAAGTCAGCGGTATCATGGTCTATTGGCGTTGGCTACGACATGTGACACGAGTTAAAGGAAACATAATGGAAACAGGCTCTGTTTCTTACGCTTTCTACATTATAGTCACGCATTTCCCAATTAACCCTGCCGATAAATGGCAAGTGACCTTTGGGTTTTATGATATTTGTCCGTAATGAGGTAATCGATATGATAACATTCTATAAACGTTTTGCGTGCTCAATTTCCTACCGTAGATATTCTGGACATGAAATATTTTGAACCAACGAATCATCCGTCCGAACAATATAAGAAACACAACTCAATTATAGTCGACTATAAACGACTGGTTGTTTCTATTTCCGAATTGAACATTTTCACCAAAGTCCATTAGAGCCCAGCGCAGTGCTACCAACAGAAATCTCCATTCACAGGAAAACATCTTCTATAATCTCAAACTATTAACCAATCGGATTAAAACACAGATCCTATTTCGTTTCTTATACATGTAGTTCAAAATTTCGTTTTACTTGTCTTTACTACACTAGGATCTGGAAGAGTTGTTATATAAACAGCGTTCTGATTGACGTGAGGGATTAACCAATGAAACGGTCTGTTACGGCGAGTTCATGGCGTGCGCTGCACGGAATTGTGGGTATCCCAGTAGAAACATCAACGCTGACTAATTAATCGAAAGTCAGAAGACGCTCGCATGATAACTGACGAGACCTCATATTACAACCGTTTAGATTTTCATGCAGCGCACGCCATTGAATATATAAAAAAACGAAACGAAATATAGATCTGTACTTTGATCGGATTGACTATTTCCTTACAAAATGGAAAACGTACTGTATCCTATGTTGGGTCCTTTCTCTTGCTGGGGGGGGGGGGGGCGAATGGTTAGCAGGTGTGCGCTGTATCATAAGGTATGTCATTGAGTCAACTGGCGTGGTTTCGATTCCCTAGTTGTACGTGACAAGGAGTAGGGTCGCCTGTCCAACCTCGTGGGTTTTCTCCGAGTCCTCCGGTTTCCTATCACTGCAGAAAACCCTTACGCGAAAGCGAATTATTTAAATAAAATTGAATCATATGAAACCTTCCCTCTTTCTCTGTCCTATGCTGGGTCCTTTCTCTTGAGGGGGGCGGGGACTGCATGGTTAGCCTGTGCGAGTTGTATCATAAAGTCTGTCATTGAGTCAACTAGCGTGGTTCGATTCCCCAGTTGTACGTGACAAGGAGTAGGGTCGCCTGTCCAAGTTCGTGGATTGTCTCCGGGTCCTCCGGTTTCCACCCACAGCAAGCGAATTATTGATATAAAATTGAATCATATGTAAGTTCCAAAATTACCTACCACAGTCAATGTAATAATTAACGTCAGTGTGTCGTTTGTTTTGAATCTCAACTTAACACACTCGTGTTTCAAAACCCTGATCTATAAATAAACAGTGAATACAACAGCCAGCACTTAATTATAAATGACGATATTATTAATATTATTATTAGTATCGTTCCGTCTCCGGAGCAGAAGAGTCAAACTTTAAACCGCATTTCATGTCATTTTCATTATTATCGTTATTATTATTATTATTATTGACTATAAAGTCTTTCGTTATTACAACTTCCAATATAAATGTTTATCACATCTTGATGACGATAAGTTGGTCATCATCATTATCGTGACCAGTGTTATTGTCTCCACCGATATGGTTGGGATCATCAGTATTGTGACCTTCAATATTGTTATTGTCACTACTAATCACACCAGTGTTATTTTGTTCACTGATGTGAGAGTATGTATCTTCAGTAACACTCTGAGGTTTGTATTCTCCAATATGTTGGTAATTATGCTCCCCTGGATTAAATGAACCAACTTGATTATAATTACTATCTGGAACGCTTGGTTTATTAGAGTTAGGTCCCTTTAGATGATGATATTCATCGTCTGACGTCACACCGCTCATTGCGATGTTGATATAATTGTCTTCTCCTGTTGTTTGTTGTGCAAGATTATCTTTCCCGCTAGGGGTCGGGTTGGTAACAGGACTGGTGTTTTGATGTTGATTAGAACCATTTTTATTAACTTGAATATCTTTTGATGGTTCTCGATCTGATTGTCGCCTGAAACAAAAAGCACCCAAACAATATAAAATGATAACAGATCATGCTTAAAATTGATTGTTTATCAGTGGTGTAGGACGGGGGGGGGGGGCAATTAACACCCTCTGGTGGATCTGATGGGACTCAAATTCGAGATCCGACGTACACCCTGGTAGTTGGAATTATAAATACGACTAGGCCGTAGCGCCGCTATCCGGACAAAATTTCCCCCATAGCACACTGTATAGTGTATGATCATCTTTTCATTAGTCCAGTTGGGGCAGAAATGTGGGACGTTAAACCACATTTCATTTCATTTCATTTCACTCGATTCCATTTTACTTTCATGGCGAGATATTCCTGCTGTCATTTTCGCGTTCATGTGCTGTTATTACCCCATTTTGGAATTCGTCCACTAAGGACTAATTTTTGGGGTCTTTATAAATAAATTAATTGATAGATTGTATATACACGCACCTTTTAATAAAGAATATGACAGCAGCAACAATAGCAATAACTAGTATAACACCGACTATTCCACCAGCGATAGCTCCTACGTCTTTACCTTAATATAAATATACAAAACAACTTGTTGTATTTTTTAAATAAAGAAAGAAAGAAAACAAAAAAAGGAACACCTACTTTTTTATACTTTTGATGGCCTACACTGCATGAAGATCTGACCAGTTGTACTGGGAGGTCACGTCAGGGCTCAGCGTTGACGTTCTAGGGGGTTTACCCACAGTTTTGTGTAGCGCACGAGAAGCACTCGCCTTAACAGACCGTTTCGTTGGCTAATTCCTCACATCAACTAGAACGCTTCTAGATCATAGTGATGTGAAGACAAGTAAAACGATACAAAACGAAACGAAATAGGATCTGTGTTTTAATCAGATGAACTGTATTACTACTATTAGTTTACCTTGTGTATTGGTACGTGAAGCTTGGTTGGGTGGTAATTCGTTAGTGAAACCAGTGGACGTCCATGTAGTTTCAGCTGTGGGTTGTGAGGAGGGAGGTGAGGCTGCAACATAATAATACACAAATAACAGAGACATGATTATAATATTATTGACCGCACTGAGGATTCCTAAATATAATAAACGTTCTGGTGAATTTTCTTTCTCCGTCAGAGCAGCTAAAACGTGGAATGATCTTCCCAAAACTCTTCGAAAGTTCTCTTCCATCCGGAGCTTCAAGACTAACTTAAAAACATATTTATTTCCAAAATGATTTTGAACTGTTTTGATGTGAATGCGCTTTGAAACCCTCATGTGTAATGGAGCGCTATATAAATCGAACAATAATAATAACTGATTATTATTTTTAGCAGCTTTATTATTTTATGCCAAGTTTCCACTATCACGATTCGTGCTACGACTGAAATCGTTGGTTTTAATCGTGGAGTAATCGTGTGATCCGATCAAGTCTTATATACTGAGGTCAGTCGTAGCAATCGTGGTGATCGTATCGAAACGTATCCGAATGCATCTGGACCCAATAGGGTCAATCTTATCCCAACGCATCGCACGACAACAGAAACCTAGCATAAAAGTTAAAGTAGCTAAGTCTCTAACTCAATATCATCCAAAATCTTCGACATTGAAAACACGATTTTTTTTGCAATTTAAATCAGCATTGGTGTTGTGATCTTACCTGGAAAAGATCGGCTTCTGATATCCAATATTTAAGACAAAATAAACATTTTACCATTGGTACACGAATCGTGTACCATAATGCGTTTCAGCGCCATTTGTAACAAGGTGCTCAAAGAATGAGGCCAGCCATTTGTAACAAGGTGCTCAAAGAATGAGGCTAGACATATGCCATAAGTCATGTCAAACGGTGATATCATGTTCTTATTTGGAGAGCATGCGCAATAAATAATATTGGTGTTGACTGGAATAACCAGACGCTAGAAACTGACTTGCAGTTGAGACTTCTGACGTATTTCGCCGAACATAACTGATGACAATTCACAGTGAAACGGACACGATTGAATGTAAAACAGTTTATATAAATTCATATTACATTATTATGTGTGTTGCGACCCGTTTGTGCCAATTTCGAGGTCCAAAATATTAGCGATTTAGCTCCTTTAACTTCAGCTTACCGTGTGTATTTGTACGCGGAGCTTGGCTAGATGTGTCAGTAGAAATTGTTGATGGTGATGTATTTTGGCTAGACGTGTCTGTAGAAATTGTTGATGGTGATGTGGTATTGGTACGCGGGGCTTGGCTAGATGTGTTAGTAGAAGCTGTTGTTGTTGATGGTGTAGTGTTTGTAGGTGAAGCTTGGTCAGGAGTTACTGTAATGACAGAAACGCTTGACGGTGATCGAGCTCCATCTGTAGGCTGAGATAAGGACGATGACCCTGAAACATGATCCAGATAACGTAACAATATAAGTAATATAAAGTCGGTATATCTAAGCTAATATTTGTAACTGTCGTTTTTCAATTGTTCAGGGTTGACGGCTAGGACTGTTCCTAGACTGAAATTTTGTGTATGATGTTAGCTAGGACCGGAGAGTAAAATGGACCATGTGGCGTTGGACCACCTCATCCGAACCATCCACTAGTAGACTATGAAAGGATTTATCTATAGTTGTACTGTCTCGTGTAGGAATTGATGAATACAGAAAAAAAGAAAATGTTCTTCCCTGTATATTGCAATATATAGCTTATACCAAAGTTACTTCGGGGTCATGTTATACATTGGTGTGCACGTAAAAGAATCCCCGACAGCTGGAAATAAAAATGAGAGTAGATCGTAGTGCCGCTTACCGGGCAAAATGTTTCTCATAACACACAAGTCATGTTACGTATATATCAAATTTATTATTAAAATCTGTTTTTTTAAAAATGTTAAAACTACCTCTATAAACCTGATCAAAATATATGGAGACTGACAGTTGTAAAAGTTTGATCTTACATTTTATAGAAGCTTACATTCAATCGATCGATCTATCAAAATGTCCTTTATTGACTAAAGAACTTGACACACTCTGGTTAAAACACTCACTTTATGTTGGGACTGTGAGTATATAAAATATGTCCAATGCAAGAGCAACACAAATCAACTTCCGTAAAGAAGCTTGCTGTAATGGTTAGGAGATAAACACCTCCTGTTATTGTCCAATGTCCCGAAAGCATTAGGATCCAGTGAAACAGGACGTGTTTATCGCCATTATAACATGCTATTTTAGCATTTTAAAAGAAAATACTAACACAGAGGTAGGGGTGTTATTGTCCAGTGGACAGTGTCTAATTGACCAATCAAAACGCAAGATTCACCCTTAAGCATGTTACAATGTGAGATTACCTTGTGTATTTGTACTGGTTGCTCGACTAGATGAGTCAGTAATAACTGTTGATGATGGTGTAGTTTCAACGGTCGAATCAATTGTGTAAGACGAATCTGTAACATAACAATAAATATAACATATTTCACATGTGAATAGTGTTCTGAAACTGATATCAAGCATACAATATTTTTTATTAAACATCGTGTCGTGTATAATAAATAAACTAGTGATTGTTGTCCCATATAACGGTTGTAGTATTGTTATGTTTCCAATCGTTAAATGCCACTCGAACATTACAAATTAGTTTGGAAGGCAATAAGTCAATATACTGAAACTCACAGATTGTCTCCAATTAGCCCAGTCGGTGCAGAAAAGTAGGACGTTAAAACCCCATTTAATGTCATTTCGTCTCCTATTATTACTTCCAAACATACTATCACGATCTGTTTCTCTGTGATACTATCATTGTTGCGCGCATCACATTGCTATGATGATTGCTACTACTAAAGAAGCAGGGGTTGGTTGGCTGAATGGTTAAAGGCGTACGTATTAGATCATAAGGTCTGTCATTGAGGCAATGAGGCAAGTGGTGTGGTTTCGATTCCCCGCTTGTACGTGACAAGGAGTAGTGTCGCCTTTCCATCCTGTGTCCCTCAACCCCAGTTTCCTCCCACAGCTAAAGACGCCTACGCGCAAATTGAATCATGTGCCCCCCCTCTACCCCCTCTCGCTCCCCCCTCTCCCCCTCTCGCTCCCCCTCCCTCTTCCCCTCTCTCTCTCTCTCCCTCTCTCTCTCTCCCCCTCTCTCTCCCCTCCCTCCCTCTCTCCCCCTCTCTCCCCTCCCTCTCTCCCCCTCTCTCCCTCTCTCTCTCTCCCCCCTCTCGCTCCCCCCTCTCTCTCTCCCCTCCCTCTCGCCCCCCTCTCTCTCCCCTCCCTCTCTCTCCCCTCCCTCTCTCTCCCCCTCTCGCTCCCCCCTCTCCCTCCCCCTCCCTCTCGCTCCCCCCTCTCTCTCTCCCCCTCCCTCCCGCTCCCTCTCTCTCCCCCTCTCTCTCTCCCTCTCGCCCCCTCTCTCCCCTCTCTCTCTCTCCCCTCCCTCTCTCCCCCTCTCTCCCTCTCTCTCTCTCCCCCCTCTCGCTCCCCCCCTCTCTCTCTCCCCTCCCTCTCGCCCCCCTCTCTCTCCCCTCCCTCTCTCTCCCCTCCCTCTCTCTCCCCCTCTCGCTCCCCCCTCTCCCTCCCCCTCCCTCTCGCTCCCCCCTCTCTCTCTCCCCCTCCCTCCCGCTCCCTCTCTCTCCCCCTCTCTCTCTCCCTCTCGCCCCCTCTCTCCCCTCTCTCTCTCTCCCCCTCTCGCTCCCCCCTCTCCCTCCCCCTCCCTCTCGCTCCCCCCTCTCTCTCTCCCCCTCCCTCCCGCTCCCTCTCTCTCCCCCTCTCTCTCTCCCTCTCGCCCCCTCTCTCCCCCTCCCTCTCGCTCCCCCCTCTCTCTACCCCTCTCGCTCCCCCTCTCTCTCCCCCTCTCTCTCTCTCCCCCTCTCGCTCCCCCTCTCTCTCCCCCTCTCTCTCTCTCCCCCTCCCTCTCGCTCCCCCTCTCTCTCCCCTCTCTCTCTCTCCCCTCTCTCTCTCTCCCCCTCTCTCTCTCCCCTCTCTCTCTCTCCCCCTCCCTCTCGCTCCCCCTCTCTCTCCCCCCTCTCTCTCTCCCCCTCTCTCGCGCCCCCCTCTCTCTCGCCCCCCTCTCTCTCCCCCTCACTCTCTCTCCCCCTCTCTCTCCCCCCTCTCTCTCTTACTAAATAAACTTACTGCCAGGAACACAAAGATAATCAATCCTCTGGTATGAATGACGTATATTACCAATTCCACAATATGCAGATGTCTCATTCAAACCACTATCACTATCAAGAATACACAATGCTTCTCCATCACATATATCTTGTAGTTCTGAGAGTAGAGTTTGATTGACGGGTGTAAAACAATCTCCACGTCGGTCACTACAACATGTAATATCACCACAGTTCGATATACCATTACCAGCACAACCACGTCTGTATCCAAACCTTATATTAGTTATTGATATTACTAATGATGGTGCACAGATCAGTGTATGATCAGTACAGCCATTACCTGGTGTACCATAGCAGGCTGTACTAAAATTAGACGTTGGGGCTTCTGTAAAATAGACGATATTGAATTAGTTTTTATATGGTAAATATTTTCCATTAGTTAATATATTACCAAGTTGGTAGTACCAAATATTCATCTATCTGGACCGGAAGTGTGGTAAATCAGAAACCGGATGTGGTATTGCATCGCCACACTGCCTATACCACTCACGACTCAAGCTACCCTCGTACTCCACATTCTAGAATCGAGGCAGCCATCGTGTAGCTACCAACCCCAAACAGACAGAGAGACAAAAGTCACTAACGAATATATAAATATTTAAACATGCATTATACATGTTCTAAATCTGCCTATGGCAGGTCTTTATTCGGGCTAAATTAGTTATTAGACATTAATGAACTTATCCAGACCACATTTGAATACATTTTGTGGTGGACGATTTAACGTTAAAACGGTTAATCGAGACTCTGTTTATTATACGTTAGTAATGCTGATCGAGGCTAACCTAAAATTGAATCGCTAATATCTCGGTTCAGAGTGAAGTAACTTGACTGATATTTTCAACATATTCTGTTTTCATTATCTATTTTATAACTATTATAGCGAGAACTGTTAGCTCTTTATCTAATCTTACCTAACGCCACTTTAAATTTGTAAATGGCAAAAAACTATTTCAGTAATAAGACCAACATAAACATCTGAACAACAACCGATCAAAAGAATAATGTACATTATTAATTGTAGCTGTTTTAGATAGACTTTCACAAAGACATAAACACTGTCGTTACCTGTTTGTGCCGAACATAGAGCTGATGTTAAGTACCAAGCCCATAGTACACCAAACATCACCATGTTGATGGTCTGTTCGCACCAATTACATTCAGATAACAATTTATTTTCGGGGAGTATTCATTGAAATATTGAATTGACTACTGTTTCCATAGGTGAAATTTTACCTGAAATGTTAAAAGTGGCATCTATACATATGGGACTAACATATGGTTCAATTTAATTTGAATAAATTGCTTGCGCGTAGGGGTCCATCCCAGTGGGAGGAAACCGGAGTAACAGGAGAAAACACACGAGGTTAGACAAGCGACTCTACTCCTACAAGCAGGGAATCGAAACCACGCCACTTGACTCATGACAGGCCTTCTGATTCAACGCAGACGCCCCCTTCATTAACTCGGTTAGTGAAGAACACTGCGGTCGTGTGCAGAATGACGTTTAGTGCTGGCGTTCGTATGTCGAATGACGTCATAATGGCGATCGTCTGTCGAATGACGCCATAATGCTTAACCGCCAAAAAAAAAAAAACTATTAACGATACAGGCGATAATCTCAGAACACTCTCGGAAAAACCTATGATATTTATTTTCAACACTATATACAATGGTAAAATGTTGTATTTATGTCACTGTCTTAATTAGCCCAGTCGGAGCAGAACAGTAGGGCGTTAAATCCCATTTCATTTCATTTTGTATTATGTTAAAACAGTATTATTGCATAAAATATTATCCGGTATATACCAGTAGAAAATCTAAATCCTGTTATGTTAAAGAAAGGTTGGTTTAGAATGTTTGTTTAATAAACATTTCCTGGCCCTTAGTAGTACATTCAAACAAATAGCGAGAGAGGGGGGGGGGGAGGCGAGGGAGAGAGGGTTTAACGTCCACTCGACACAAACTATTTCGGGACTAACATGTGGTTCAATGTTATTTCAATAATTCGCTTGCGCGTAGGTGTCTTTAGCAGTGGGAGGAACAGGCGGGCCCGGAGAAAACCCACGAGGTTGGACAGGGGATCCTATTCGTTGTCACGTACAACCCGGGAATCGAAACCACGCCAGTTGACTCAATGGCAGACCTTATGACACAACGCGCACGGGGTAGCCATTCTTCCACCCAGCCCCCGCTAAGATAAATAGACATAAGTATCAGTTGTTATTAAAAATCGAATAGCCCGTGTGAATAGAATATTATCATGTAACATATGGTGTGCTATTACACTAAGTCACGGGTTTTTATACATGCCAACCCGAAATTGTCCATTTTGTGAAAAATTAAATTCATAATTATATATATTGATTTAAATATATGTAAATCAAGGCGAGGACACGGAGATTTTCCCAGTGTATTTCTTTACTTTTTCGTCACACCCCTCCTGCACTACTGACAATAAGAGGGGGTGCACACCGGAAAATCCGATGAACTTTCTCGGCCCACACAGGGAGCGAACAAGGGACGTCTAGGTTAACGAGCCAACGTCTTACTGACTAAACCACCATTAAACCACGACACACTATGAATGACACAATGTAAACGACATGTACACATGGACATATAGTTACAATAGAGCCATTGTTAGATGTGGCGTATAAGAAATAGACAATCATGTCTTTCTGTTACATTGACTGACAGAATAAATCAAGCATGATAGAAACAAACAAACATAGTAGGACGTTAAACCCCATTTCATTTCATTTCATTTCACAAACAAACATTAACTACGATCAATCATTCTTCGCCCAACCTTATATTACGGTCTATATATATGTAATTATGTATATATTACTGTATAATAAATAATATGTTGTGTGTGTGGGGGGGGGGGCTGAACTGTTAGCCCGTGCGCGTTGTATCTTAAAGTCTGACAGTCAACTGGCGTGGGTTAGATTCCCCGGTTGTATGTGACAAGGAGTCGGGTCCTTCGATTTCCTCCCACTGCTAAAGACCCCTACGCACAAGCGAATTATTGAAATAAAATTGAACCATGTTAGTTCCGAAATGACCTAGTTTGTGTCGAGTAGAATTTACCCCCTCTCTCTCTCTCTCTCTCTCTCTTTCTCTCTCTCCCAGGAATCATTCTAAAGTGAAAGAAATTCAATTGACTAACAATATATTTAAATTATTTAAATGTCTAGCTTACCTTAACAATGAATATAACCTAGATCGTTAGCAATGCAGCCCCATAAACAATTTATATGTGTAATAATTCTACACGTAAAGAAATAATATACGTTGTAACATTTACTTGACTTACTTTGACAAAGAATATGTCATACTGTCCTATAATATATTTTACCTGTAATTTGATAGTATTTACCTGTATGGTTATTATCGCTATATTTACTGGAGATGAATACCTGACATATAGTATTACATCTTACCTGTATACAATTTGATGTTTAAACACTGCACTGTTTTTAATATCACATAACTCTAGTTATGAATGGTGCATGTCCTCGATCAATAGTCTAGTTGGTGTAGAATTGTAGGTCGTTAAACCTAGATTCAGTTCATGTCGCTTACTAAATAGGCTGTTTTCTACTCCGGTATCCTGCTCAAGCAAGTCACGACACTCCTTCTACCGGTGCAAACCGTTTTAAAAATGCTTAAAACTGACACGTGTATCCTAAGTATCCTAGGTATCTAGCTAAAGAGACAAGTCGATTTCTAATCTCATTCTAATATACCAAGTACTGTTTATAAGATAATAGAGAATAACATTTACCTGTACATAACATACAGGTGTAGGGTATCCATGCATGAATAAAGAGTTGTGTATAATTATCAAGTTAGTGTATAAAATCCGGTTTCATTTATTCGCTGTCTATTCATTTCAACATGCCTCGGCTATTAATACGTCATGTGCGATATACATTATGATTTTATTACCTTCAAATAATTCACAAAAATAAATTAATCACCGCGCCCTTTTGCATTGTAATGACGGAAAATAACTTCTAAAACTGTTGTATAATAGTTTTCACATTACTTCTATAAAAAATTTTAACTGCTTGAAGGCGGAAAAGGGTGTCCTGATATAACAAGTCACCACACTCCTTATACTGACACAAGTATCCTGATATAGAAATTAAGCTAGGCTAATGGAGGAAATTTTGCCCCGACAGCGGCGCTACGGCCTACTCTTTTAGCCAATTCCAACTACCAGTGGATCTTTTACGTGCACGTCGGTAAGACATTTTATAGTGCTTACATTGCAGTTAATGTCGGTGAGGATTATTTGTCTAAGCCCTGGTTAGGCATTTTAGAGTGTTCTCCCCTGCACTGCCAGGTTCCATCTAATTCTTAAGGCCACAATCTCGTCAATAAGCACGTGTTTTAACCTTATTTACATCTCGGCGACCTTGTCGAAATCTGCAGGTGGCCTTAATAACTATACAATGAGAATTGTTTATGTATGTTATGCCGATCGTTGTTATGTTAAAGGATTTGATCAGAGAGAGAGAGGGGATGAGAGGGAGGGGAGAGAGAGAGAGAGAGAGAGAGAGGGGAGAGAGAGAGAGAGAGAGAGAGAGAGGATGAGAGGAGGAGGAGAGAGTGAGAGAGAGAGAGAGAGAGAGAGCGAGCGAGAGAGAGAGAGAGAGGGGATGAGAGGAGGAGGAGAGAGAGAGAGAGAGAGAGAGAGAGAGAGGATGAGAGGAGGAGAGAGAGAGAGGAGAGAGAGAGCGAGAGAGAGAGAGAGATGGGGTTTAACGTGCGCTCAGCAAAAACTAGGTCATTTCGGGATTAACATATGGTTCAATTTTTATTCGCTTGTGCGTAAGGGTCTTTAGCAGTGGAAGGAAACCGGAGGAGGCTCGGGTCTGGGGGAGGGGGGTATAGCATGTGACCCGTCAATATTTCGTCAATGTTGCCATTTAACAAAAAGCGTTATCTCAGTTTGTGCGGAAGTTGGTGTGGCACCTCTTCGTATGTTGACCAGGGTCACAGTGCAGTTAGCAAGCTAAAATACCTTGTAAATGGTTGTAGAAGATGCTTGGAAAATAGGTGTGACTCCCTAGCCAGAACATCCCGCCTTCGATTCCTGTCATAATTAGCAGAGAACACACATTGGAATTTTTCAGCATCGCCATCTTTACTAGTGATGGACGGTAAAGTGGGGTGGCTAGCAAGGAATACTGTCATGTCATTTGGATGGGACGGGAAAACAGATCCTGTGTACTCGTTGCTCGGGATTATTCAGCATGGCGTCTTCTTGTCAGTTGTGTAAGACGACGGGACTGACAAAAGATGCATTGTATACACGTTGGAGTTTAACCATGGCAGCTGTAGTTCAAAATAATTGTAGTCCGTAACGACCGGATGGTGCATAATATAAAAACATGACCTTGACCCCCAAACGTGTCCATTTATTAAATACAGAGAGAGAGAGAGAAATGGGGTTTAACGTCCACTCGACACAAACTAGGTCATTTCGGGACTAACACATGGTTCAATTTTATTTCAATAATTTGCTTGCGCGTAGGGGTCTTTAGCAGTGGGAGGAAACCGGAGGACCCGGAGAAAACCCACGAGGCTGGACAGGCGACCCTACACCTTGTCACATACAACCGGGGATTCGAAACCACGCCAGTTGACTCAATGACAGGTCTTATGATACAACACGCACGTGTTAACCATTCGGCCATCCAACCCCCCTTATTAAATACAACAACAAAAACAAGATAACTGTTTCAGTTTATTTTGATTTCGTTTCACTAAGCATACATAAGAAACACATGAGATAAGAAAAACACTAACATCATACTGGATTCACTTCATTTGCGTAATAAAAAGCGAGGTTACAAGAAGTAAATAAAATATTTGTTTTGAGAATTAAATAAAAAATATTCTTTGGGTTTAACAATGAATAATAAACATTTTTAAAGTTCAATATAAAAATATGTTTAAGTAAAACACTCCAATTAAAAAAAAAGCTGAACAATTAAATACAAATATATTTTACGTTAAATAAATAAATACTTAAAGTTAAACAATTAAATCAGAAAATATGTTTCATGTGTTTGTCTCATCGGAATCATATAATGGTCTAAATTTTCCAAAATAAAATCCTTTTGCTACCTTAAACATCAGATTAAGGTGCTCCGATTAATGCTGGCACAAAATCTAACACTGGCAGTAATTTTTGGTTGTGACCCCACCATCGACTTCAAAGGTGAAATCATGACCCCACCCATTGTCTTCACAGGTGAATTCATTACCCCGCCCATCGTCTTCACAGGTGAATTCAGATTTTCAAGTCGACTTTATATATACAGTTACCTGTACAATACTGAGTAGGTTTAAATGTTGCATGTGTGTAACATATTAGTTCAATATACAATTAGTCGTCACATCGAACCTTATACTAATGATGCCAAGCTAACCATGTAGCTAGAATAGTTACTGTATAACATATCAGTTCAATATACAATTAGTCGTTACATGAAAAGCGGTGCTAATTTGCTCAACCGGAACTATTGTAAGATTCTAAACTTTTCAAAAAGACAAAATTTTATTATAAGTTTGAATTACATATACGTTTTAATTGTTTATAAGTTTAATTGTATAGAAGTTTTAATTGTATATATGTAACCCGTTTTCTTTCATTTTAATTGATCATATCCATAAAGTATTTGATATTTATTTTTAATTTGATATATTATCTGTGGTATTTCACTTTATTTATGAATATAAATATATTATTTCTGTGATTTCTTTTATTTTGTCTCGAATAGTTTCACGATATGATTGACGCAATATAACTCGGTTGGAGCTGACGTGCAACATGTCATTCATTCATTGAAACGCGGTACTAATTAAACATGGTAGATTGTGGCAATCTAAACAATGCATAGTTGTTAAGACGGAGTTAAGAAAATATCCATGCAACAGGGCGTTTCTGATTACTCACTGGGAATGATATACAATGAAATCCAATTATTAAGTCCGGTTGCGGAACTAATATAAATTGCCCTTAATAGTGAGGTGATCTGTATACCGAGTTGGAGTCACGGGATACGGCCTTTATGCATTTTTTTAAAAATTCGGTCGTACATTAAGGTGGTCGTTGATCGAGATTCCACTGTACTTAGCTCAAAGAATGGTTTACGATACATGTATGTACACAATTAAAGGGGAGGTCTCGGTTATCATAGGGTATAAGTGTGCCAAGTGTGTTAAATATGCTAAGCAAAGGCTCAGTTGTGACGAAATAGCACACATGCTTTAAAGTTCCAGTTTAGCATATTGAAATGTTTTGAAGATTTACTTAAAGGAGTGTCACCCTGATAATCCCGACAATGTAAGTCGGTATATAAAAATGTTTATCCAGGCACTTGGGAATATTGGGGTATTTTGCAGGTTTATTATCAACCTCAGAATTACATTAAAAGGCACCACATCTACAGCGTCAAATAAATGTAAACCATTTGTACAAACGTTAAAGGAGCTAAATCGCTAACATTTGGGACCTAGAAATTCACAAAAGTGGGTCGCAACGCATATAATACTGTAATATGAATGTATATAAACTTATTTACATTTAATGGTTTTCATTTTTACTCCAATTTCAAATCAGTTATGTTCGACGAAATAAGTCAGCAATCTCAATCGAGTGCAAATTTCTAGCGTCTAGTTATTCTAGTCTACATAACTCCATTTGATTTGGTGCAAGTTGTCTAGCCTCGTCCCTCGAGTCTCTCAATACAACTGGGGCTGAAGCGCATTCTGGTACACGATTCGTGTACCAATGTTAAAAAAATTATTTTATCTGAAATATCGGATATCAGAAGCTCATCTTTTCCCGGTAAGTTTACATCATCAATGTGGATTTAAATTGACCAATAATTCGTGTTTTCGATGTCGAAGATTTTGGAGGATTTTGAGTTACGGACTTAGGTCCTTTAACGTTTTGGGGGGTTGGATGGCTGAATGGTTAGCGTGCGCGCGCTGTATCATAAAGTCTGCCATTGAGTCGACTGGCGTGGTTTCGAATCCCCGGTTGTACGTGGCAAGGAGTAGGGTCGCCTGTCCAACCTCGTGGGTTTTCTCCGGGTCCTCCGGTTTCCTCCCACTGCTAAAGACCCCTACGTACAAGCGAATTATGTAAATAAAATAAAAAAACATATGTTAGTCCCGAAATGACCTAGTTTGTGTCGAGTGGACGTTAAACCCCATTTCTCTCTCTCCCTTTAACGTTTTACATAATATACTCCGTCATTTGGTCCGCCATTTGATCTATGACTGATAGATACTAGTAACTCCCACTCACTACATTGACATAGTATTGTAAATTCGACATCAGTTAAATATCGTTAAAGCTTAAATTGCACTTGCTACATAATTTGCTCGTTGGACAATCAATTTGCAGCGTTAAAATTGAATTAGAACTGTGAATTATTTTCTATGTTGATAAGAACTGGGTTATCACAATCCGTTTGATTTTAAAATTTGATGCCCATTTGATGTCGATTACTTGTCGACCCAGTAAACAAAAAATGAAATTACATTAGTAGACAAAACGACTTCCGTTTTGATCATAGAGCCAATCCAAATAACACACGGAATCGACGCTTTTGTAACCCAATTCAAAGAGGTCTAGGTCCTGAAAGTTTAGTGGACACATATAGAATTAGACGAAAGGAACTTGTAATAATACTGATTACGGCCTGGAGGTCGGGTGTTCGATCCCTGCATTGGCCGAGAAAGTTCATCCAGATTTTCCGGCGTGGTTCTCCCTTGTCAGTGATGCAGGACGGAGGGGCTGACAAGGAAAGCTGTCTAGTCGTTCGGATGGTACGAAAAACCGAGGCCCCGTGTACACATTGGCGTGCACGTAAAAGATCCCTTGGCAGTTGGAATTCGATATAAGAGTAGGCCGTAGTGCCGCTGTCCGGGCAAAAATTTCCCTCATAGCACACTGTATGGCGTATGCCCGTCTTCATTAGCCCAGTATAGGAGCAGAACAGTAGGACGTTAAACCCCATTTCATTTCATTTCATTTCAATACTGATTACGAATGGCTTTTTTAGGCCTAATGCAAAGAGGATTGCTCCTTAACGTTTAGTAGAAAATGAACAATGTACATATATATAATTTGACGACAGAAGCTTACATCATAACACATCATAACACATCACTGCTTCTTTCCAATACCAATTACGAATAGCGTTTGGGACTCCGTGGCATTTTTGTTAAACGCACAGGAGAAGAAGGTGGTTCTATTGTGCGTGTTGGGGAGTGTATTGGAGAAGGATTAACTTTGGTCATGAACTGTCGTCGTGGTCGTTCAAGGCTAGTTGAAGGCATCTCTTCGGATACATAAATAGTTGGTATGGGGTGGTTTAGGTATTCTGTCTCTACCAATGATTTGCAGTATGGGCTGGAATCAATCATCGACATAAGCTTACTAACTCGATCGTAAGGTGGAGGGGGATCAGAGTTATCTTCCCTGAAATGACATCACATTTTTTTACGTCAAAGAAAAAGAAAAATATCGTATATCAGGTTACAGAACTGTGATATTATTGTGGTTAGACTGAACTAATTCAAAGTTACGAACCTTCACGGAGTTTACGCCCATGTGACCAAAAACATTTGGGACAAGAGATTTTAGTTTTCTTGCTGCATCAAAATGGAAGATCATCAAGTGTTCATCAAAAGTGTCCTTTCTACTGAGTGTTTCAAATCCAGATTTAAAACAAACCAATTCAAACGTTATATTAAAATTGTGTGTAGAAAGCACATAGAGCATACTTCAAGAATGGAACTGGCGCTATACAAATGTTCATATTATTATTATTTTTTTTATTATCATTATTATTACTATTTTAGAGCTCCACTCGACACTAACAACTGGTACAATTCGCTTGGGCATAAACGTCTAAGCAGTTGGGTGAGGTGGAGCACCGGGTGAAACCACGAGGTTGAGCAGACAACCCTATTCCTCGTCATCTACTAGCTTCGGATCGAAACAACACCACGTGACTCAACAGACCTTAAGATTTAATGCGCACACACACCAATCCCAGTATGGAACCATGGCACTCTAAGGGTAATAGATTAAGGGGAGAGACGGAGGGAGTGAGAGAGAGATAGAGAGAGAGGGTTTAATGTCCAAACGACACAAACCAGGTCATTTCGGGACTAACATATGGTTCAGTTTTATTTCAATAATTCGCCTGCGCGTAGGGATCTTTAGCAGTGGGAGGAAACCGGAGTACCCGGAGGAAACCAACGAGGTTGGACAGGCGACCCTACTCCTTGTCACCTACTACCGAAGAATTGAAACCCCGCCAGTTGACTCAATGACAGGCCTTATGATACAGCGCGCACGTGCTAACCATTCGCCCCCCCCCCCAAATAGTTTAAGGACAAATACGTACTGTATTGAGTATATATTATCAGATGCGAAAGGTGATCTTGTTTCTGGTCCAGTTGACATCCCCGCTGTAGACACATGACCCAAAGGCATCTCTGCAGACTTTCTACGTTTACGAGCTTTGTATCGTACAACAGCTACAGTAATAAAAGCAATAATTAGAACAGCCACAACGGTCAGTGCTCCCGAGTAATACGTAACGGATTTTAAACCAAGCCTGGCTCGTCTTTCCGATTTACTTTCTGAAATAAATGAAACGTTTAAAACAATTACAGCATATTATACGCTCACATTTGTCATTCGCGTTGTCTTTTTTAAAGAGCGTAAATAATAAATATTATCTATAATATTTAAGATAAAAAACACAAATCAGGATTCAATATTGGTCCATTTCAATCAGTTTCAGTGTTGTTATATTACCGTGAAAATATCGTCTTCTGGTATCCAATATTTAAGACACAAGCAATATTTTTAAAATAGTTCTCTATGGTCACGAGCGTCATTTGTAATGAACATAGCAGACCATATCCCTCCAGCCAACGCAGAAGTGTGTGTGTGTGTGTGCGTGAGGGAGAGAGAGAGAGAGAGAGAGAGAGAGAATATAAAATGTATACGCTCTAGCATATCGATTCATCTAGTTTAAATGAAATGCCTCTGTTAATAAGGATTTGTTTACCTTTTAGTGTATTAATCTTTACTAGAAAGATACAGTTGGCGATATTTCCTTCGTAATCAGCTGTTTTGTAAACTATGGTATGTTCTCCTCGTGTGAACACCTCACCTATACAAAATATACAATTACTAAAATAAACACAACACGTCCCCCTATACAGAATATACAATTACTAAAATAAACACAACACGTCCCCCTATACAGAATATACAATTACTAAAATAAACACAACACGTCCCCCTATACAGAATATATAATTACTAAAATAAACACAACACGTTTCACATAAAGACGCATTAGGTACGTATTAGTTAAAGAACTGATCTTTCTTGCTATAATAGTTATATTAAAAATACATTATGTAAGATTTAGATAAAGAGCTGGTCGTTCTTGCTATAATAGTTATATTAAGATACATTATGTAAGATTTACATAAAGAGCTGACAGTTATCTCTACAATAAATCAAATATAGGTCATGACAAATGATTATATTAAAAATTACTTTATTCTGAGCATAGTTTGACACGTCTCGATTATCCAGTTGTAAAACTGGCGGGTTTTCTAATCCATCTGAATCTAGATCATCCATATACACGAGGTAGTGAACGCGTGAAAGGACCTTTAATAATTGGGTACAATAGAACAGTACACGGTGTGTATACCTACCTTCTTTAGGACCTTAAATAATTGGGTACAATAGAACACTACACGGTGTGTATACCTACCTTCTTTAGGACCTTAAATAATTGGGTACAATAGAACACTACACGGTGTGTATACCTACCTTCTTTAGGACCTTAAATAATTGGGTACAATAGAACACTACACGGTGTGTATACCTACCTTCTTTAGGACCTTAATTAATTGGGTACAATAGAACAGTACACGGTGTGTATACCTACCTTCTTTAGGACCTTAAATAATTGGGTACAATAGAACACTACACGATGTGTATACCTACCTTCTTTAGGACCTTAAATAATTGGGTACAATAGAACACTACATGGTGTGTATACCTACCTTCTTTAGGACCTTAAATAATTGGGTACAATAGAACACTACACGGTGTGTATTCCTACCTTCTTTAGGACCTTAAATAATTGGGTACAATAGAACACTACACGGTGTGTATACCTACCTTCTTTAGGACCTTAAATAATTGGGTACAATAGAACAGTACACGGTGTGTATACCTAGCTTCTTTAGCCCGATTTGGAAATGAAATGAGGTTAAACGTTCTACGGCATGCCATGCAGTGTGCTATGAGGGGAATTTTGTCCGGACAGCGGCGCTACGGCCTACTCTTTCGCCGAATTCAAACTGCCAAGGGGTCTCTTACGTGCACGCAAATGTGTACGAGGGACCTCGGTCTTTTGTACCATACGAACGACTAGCCAGAGGGCGTGCACCTCTGACTAGGTGAAACCACGCCGGAAAATCCGATAAATATTCTCGCCAACACCGGGAGCGAACCCGCGACCTCTAGACTAGCGAGCCAGCGTCTTACTCACTTAGCCACTGTGGCTCGTAGCCCGATTTGTACATACAAGTAGAGAGTTAAACCCCATTTGATTTCATTATTATTAGTAGTATTAAGCTATTAAAATACCTGGGGTATTTCTAGAATTAGGATGTATAGCCAGTCCAACATTGTCTGTAGCAACAGGAACTGTCCAACTCACTTTCTCATCTGTCGACGTTATATCTGATGGACAACTCGTGAACACCGGCGGTTGACGATCTGAAATAAAAAGAAAGCTAATAATTTAACAACACGCTACTTTCTGAAATGAACAAAACTTAGGCCACATAAAATTTCTTCGGTACGGGTGGGGTTGGGCAGGGGCGAAAGGTTAGCGCGTGCGCTTTGAATCATAAGGGCCTGGTTTCGATTCCCCGGTTGTACGTGACAAGGAGTATGGTCGCTCGTCCAACCTCGTGGGTTTTCTCCGGATCCTTCGGTTTCCTTCCACTGCTAAAGCCTCCTGCGCGCAAGCGAATTATTGAAATAAGATTGAACCATATGCTAGTTCCGAAATGACTAACCCCATTTCTCTTAATGTAACCAAGTCTCTAACTCAATATCATCCAAAGTCTTCGACATTGAAAACAGGAATTATCTGTCAGTTTAAATCACGACTGATTTTGTGATCTTACAGGGGAATGATGTCTTCTGATATCCAATATTTAAGACAAAATAAATATTTTACTTTCGTGTACCATAATGCGGGTCAGGCCATTTGTATCAAGGGACTCGAAGAACGTGGCTAGGTATATTCCGCAAGTCATGTAAAAAGGCGACGGCATATTCTTATCTGGAGAGTATGCGCAATAAATACTATCGGTATAGACTGGAATAAGCAGACGCTAGAGATTGTCAATCGATTTAGACTTCTGGCGTATTACGCCAAAGATAATTGATTTTAAATTAGAGTAAAAACGAAAACGATTGAATGTATGCGTTGCTACCCATTTGTGTCAATTTTTAGGTCCAAAATATCAGCGATTTAGCTCCTTTAAATCAATACGCCGGATGTGACGTTATGAGGTGAACTGTTATTCACTGTATATAGGCAAACAATGTGCGTGTTATTATTAACGACTATGTGGGGGAATCTGCTTATAGATATTAAAATTATATGTAAACTCTTTCAATGCAGGGGGGGGGGGGGATTGGATGACCGAATGGTTAGCACATGCGCGCTGTATCATGAAGCCTGTCATTGTGTCAACTGACGTGGTTTCGAATCCCCGGTTGTACGTGACAAGCAGTAGGGTCGCCTGTCCAACCTCGTGGTTTTCTCCGGTTTCCTTCCACTGCTAAAGACCCCTACGCGCAAGCGTATTATTGAAATAAAATTAAACCATATGTTAGTCCCGAAATGACCTAGTCTGTGTGGAGTAGACGTTAAACCCTCTCTCTCTCTCTCTCTGCCAGTGTTATTTTGTGAACTTACCCCTGACTCTGATCTGGAAAGAACACGTAGCTCGATTTCCCATAACGTCCATAGAACTAGTAGCGGTTACTGTAAAATAATTAGACCCGTCCGGACCAATAGTAAACGTTGTAGCAGAATAAGTTACGTCCAGATCGTAGTTTAAATAATCTCGAGATTTTAATTTGATTGGTAAATCAACTGAGTTAGAATCAACTGCTAGATCGATCTCTATGTTGGTTGCTGGACAGTTAGTAAACTCTGGCTCTGTAACAACAATATATAAATGGGAATTAATGATTAGAATAATAATAATAATAATAATAATAATTCAGTCAGTCTGACTGCTCCGTGGCGTTTTACAATGTAGATATGATTATAAAAAACATACAAATAAACAAATGAGCATTTAACGACTATTGTCTGCACCGACAAGGCTACCGAAGAAGGGCATAAGTCATGCGCGAATATTTAGTCAGGACAGAGGTGCTACGATCTATTATTATTTCAAATTTCAGCTGGTAATGCATTTTTTAATGTGCACGTAAACATGTACACGTAACACCATTTGTCCAACTGGACACTCATGTCACTCTAAATACACTTCCGTGTCACTCTAAATACACTTCCGTGTCACTCTAAATATACTTCCGTGTCACTCTAAATACACTCATACTCTCATCATATCACTCTAAATACACCCATACTCTCAAGTCGCTCTAAATACACTCATACTCTCACCATTTCACTCTAAATACACTCATACGCTCATATCACTCTAAAGTCTAAATACACTCATACTCCCATTATTTCACGATAAATACACTCATATTATACTCATATCACTTCCCGCTCAATACACTCATATACTCACATCATTTCACTCTAAATACACTCATACTCACATGTCACTCTAAATACACTCATATACTCACATCATTTCACTCTAAATACACTCATACTCACATGTCACTCTAAATACACTCATATACTCACATCATTTCACGCTAAATACACTCATACTCTCATCATTCCACTCTAAATACAATCACTTTAAATACACCCATACTCTCATGTCACTCTAAATACACTCATACTCTCATCATTCCACTCTAAATACACTATGCATTAGGAGTTTACCTTTATATTCTTCCCATTGTACTTGAGCTTCGCCATCTACAGAAAAAATATAATATAATCATACAAAGACATAATTAATACAATAGAACCACAGCAGAAGCATAGAATATCGGTTGGCTTAGGAGAGCACCAGTACGAACATAGATAGAGCACCCAAAGATCCCTTCACCCATGGATTGAAACTTAAAAATAATTTAAAAAGACACTGCTGGTGTTATCAAGTCCTAAATGGCTGTAAGACAGTAGTAGGTCTAGCTTATGTATCTATGTGGGTAGGGCAAGGTGGACGTATTTAAAGAATATTTAGTCTCTGGTATATGTATATGGTTGTTTTTCTTGTAACGAATCGACTTTCTATAGTAACGAATCAACTTTCCATAATAACGAATCGACTTTCTCTAGTTCGTTGGCACGGTCTAGTGATATTGATAACTGTAGCAAACTTGATTATTGAGATCGAATTCGTACGCCTGGATCCCGAAAATTGCATCATTCCTTGTGAATTCTGGATCAATTCCGGGAAACTTCTGGTTCGTGACGCAGTCCCTTACACAATACGTGGCATATAGAAATGGATTTAACGTCCTAATGTTCTGCCAACACCTGGATCGATTCTGGGACCGCCTATGTACACCTTGCAGTGCAAGTAAACACTCCCTCATAGCACACTGATTGGCATGTAGCTGTATCATAAGGTTTGTCACTGAATCAACTGGCGTGATTTCGAATCCCCAGTTGTACGTGACAAGGAGTAGGGTCGCCTGTCCAGCCTCGTTGGTTTTCACCGGATCCTTCGGTTTCCTCCCACTGCTAAAGACCCCTACGCTCAAGCGAATTATAAACATAAAATTGAACCATTTGTTAGTCCCGAAATGACCTAGTTTGTGTCGAGTTGACGTTAAAGCCCATTTCTCTCTCTCTCCCTCTTTCTCCCCTCTCTCTCTCTCTCTCTCTATCTCTCTTTGCTTTATACTTACCAATACATCTAGCACAGCATTCACCTGGTACGATGTTAGCACAGTCAGGACGGATAGCTGGACACGGAATGTAGGTACAAGTAGCTCCACCATATTCCACATTGTTATTAGGATCATAACACGTACAGACCAGACAAGTCGTTGGTTGAAAACTCTCCTCCAGATAATATTTAGTATTATTCCAGAGACAAAAATCATCAGTAGGTATCATACAGGCCATTCCACAACCGGTAGAACAACATTTGTGAAAGCCACTACAATCTATGTCATCATAGCAAGTATCATCACATACACCAGCATTTACTATCATCGAACTATGCATTTGGGGACAATAACCGGGCTTTTCTTTGTAATTACCTGAAACAATCACGGCAATATGTAATAAATAACAGCTTTATTTAACATAAAATGTGCGAACTGTAACAATTACTATGTCGAGAAAAAAACGTTTAACAGCAACCATTTTACTGGAAAATGAAATGAAATAGGAGTTAACGTCCTACTCTAGTGTTCCAACTGGGGTAATGATGCAGGACGGAGGGTCTGACAAGGTAAATTCGTTCGGATAATACGAAAAACAATTTTAGTTAAATGGAGAAAAACTAGAAATTTCCTTCCCTGATTCCATGATAGATATTTATAGTAATTCTTTACTTCTTGTATTTTGGTTGACTTTTTCACCCCCTCCCCTAACTAATTCGCCCCCCCCCCCCCGTAACTAATTCTGTCAACCTCTCCCCTAACTAATTCGATACATACTGTGTTCACAATAGCTACCACTGTATTCCTCTGGACAAAAGCATGTTGGTCCGGACCACTGAGAACCAATTACACAAAAACCTCCGTTTAAACATATGTAGGGACAATTGGCTGCAATGTATAGTTTAAAATCATTAGTTATTTATACAATGTCCAGACGCAAAGAGTGATAATATGCCCATACAACTGCCACGTCTCAACTGCAGCTTACACGAAAGGAACACTTGCATACTGATCAAATTTCATGACTCCGGAACAGAAAGTCACAAAACATTTTATAGCAATATAATTCATACTCTGCCAAAAACTGTAGGACCTGTCGTATTGACAAAGTTTTGGTAAAGGGAGGGGGAATAAGTCTGAAATGGAAAGTCGCTGAAAGCTAAATCTCGATGAAGATCATCATCTGATAAACCCTATCTCATGAAAAAAAAGCTTATATCGCGTTCACAAAGTTTTCGGCAAAGGGGGCACAACTCCGGAACGGAAAATCGTGGAAAGCTGAAAATCGATAGAGTCTTCGTCTCACGGTCATAATGCTTTACACCGAATTTTAAAAGAATCCGACAAAACATGTAGGCTCTATCGCGTTCAAAAGGATTTCGGAATAAATGGGCATACCTCGCAGATAGTTGCAAGTCACTAGGGTTTGTCCTCTCATGACCACGATGTTTCAGACCAAATTTGAAAAGAATCCATCAGAAACAGTTACCTCTGTCGCGTCCACCGGACAGGGTAACAACATATTGGAGGACGCTGCAGAACCCTGTTCGGTTAGTCAGCTGATCCCTTTACAGAATACCAATCTTCACCAATCTAATTTGAGATACCAGAGAATAAAAATATTAGAAATATTTCCAACCAGTTGTCAGATTTGATACATACGTATTTCACACTGCATGCCTTCGTAGCCATCTTTACAGACACATCTGGGAGCTCCATCAATATAATCACACAATCCATCATTCTGACAAACTGGGTGGCATAAGACTGAAATAAAAAATAATATTAGTAATATTATTATACTAACAAACACTATATTACTAGCAAACACTATATTACTAGCAAACACTATATTACAAGCAAACATTGTATTATTAGCAAACACTGTATTACTAGCAAACACTATATTACTAGCAAACACTGTATTACTAGCAAACATTATATTACTAACAAACACTATATTATTACCAAACACTATATTACTAGCAAACTCCATATTACTAGCAAACACTGTATTACTAGCAAACACTATATTACTAGCAAACACTATATTACTAGCAAACACTATATTACTAACAAACACTATATATTACTAGTATACTAATATTATATTACTCGTATACTAACAAAATAACAAACATTATATTATTAGTATACTTGCAAATAGTATATAGCCCACATCCTAGCAGACACTGTTTTACCGTGTGGGTTTTCTCTGCCCCCACCCCTTTCCCCACAAAAACCATTGCTGAATACCCCTACAAGCAAACGAGTCATTGAAATAAATGCTTTACCCGAAAGTCTTAGTATATGTAAAGTGGACGTTAAACCCTATTTAACTTACATGTTTCACAATGTTGCCCAGTAAAGTCATGCTTACAAACACACACCAATCCATCATCTGTGTTAATCGCTGTTCCTCCATTATAGCACTCCAGTGTTACCGGTTCCACACTTTCTATACCAAAACAAAATATCAAATTTCGTCTTTAAAGTTGCATTATATTAGATTTATATCAACAATAAAGAAAAGGCGTAGAGTCCAGTACCTTGGAAAATTCAGGAGAAATAGACCAGTTTGGTCATTCTGGGGTCTATTTTGGGTGAGTAACTCAACAATCTCTTGGTTATCCAATGGAAGTTTGGTCCCTATTGGAAATAAGCAACGGATGTTAGATACGCCAGGCTTTATGAGCTATCCTAAGTAAAGGTCTCTTCACGACACCATACCTATCATATGCTTGTCTCATTTCGCATCCCAATTATACAATGTACCACATAGTTCTTATTTTCATATACATATCTGAATTTATTGTTATCACTTTCCCAGTCGAGCAATGCGGCACTAGTTCTTATTATAATACATTAATTTATTGTCATATCGTAACCTTTACTTGAAGAATAAATCAATAAAAAATAAATAAAAACAGAAGTTATTAGTAGCGGAACTATTTCTACATGTAACATAGGAACCCGTCTCCCTTAAAGATTCATTATGTTAGAATACTTTAACAATTTAAATAAAGAGTTGTTAGTCCTTGTCATAATAGTTCTAAAATAGATAATGAAAATTGAACATATTGAAAATTACAGTTAAAATTATTTATAGTCTAGATTGTCAAGTATCTTTGCCCCGAAAATGATCAAAATCTCGATTATTATATAGCTCGTTTGTTCTAATATATGCTATATTAGCCGGAATCAAATTGCTTTTCAAGGGGGCGGGAGGTCTAAAACAGCCCTTTATGAGAAAAGTGTCACGGTCGGTCGTTTTCTTTATCTTTTATCATCGGGTGGTGGGATGGAATTGGCATTCAAAGAGCGAGATAATGATATAGACATATTTGATATCACAATTAATGCTTTGCATCAATGAAATTGAATCACAGTGTGATCCTATTTCATTCATAATAAAAATTGACGTCACACGGGGAGTGTTGGATTTCTCTCTTTAAAAAGCTAAGTGTATATGTTTGCCTACGTAATTTAGAGACGATGATGACATCATGCAAGGTCATTAACCGGAACCTGTCAAACCCCCTCTTGCAATATTTTCCTTGTAGTACACTGTATAGTTTAGGCCCGACTTGATTATATATTTGAAATGACTGTAAAGTGAAATGAATATTACCGAATAGTATAATATTGGACATTTTGTAAAATGAAATGACCTGAAATGGGGTTTGACGTCCTAATGTTTTGCTCCTAGACTGGGCTAATGAAGACGGGCATACGCCGTACGGCCTACACCTATATCGAATTCCAACTGCAAAGGGTTTACACGGGACTTCGGTTTTTCGTACCATCCAGCGACTAGACAACTGTCCTTGTCAGGCCCTCCGTCCTGCATCACTGACAAGGTGGAACCACGCCGGAAAAGCCCGATGAACTTTCTCGGCCAACGCAGTGATCAAACACGGGAACGACTAGACAGATGTCCTTGTCAGGCCCTTTGTCCTGCATCACTGACAAGCCTGATGAACTTTCTCGGCCAACGCACGGGACCTCGAGGTTAGCGAGCCAACGGAAATGGTTGTAAAGTAAAATTATAAATAACTTACTTATTGTACATCGGTTTGTGACCGGATCCATCATCCATCCTTTACAACAAGCATCAGAACATTTATAATATCGACATTTGAACGTCTGTGTTTCTAGACATACTCCAGTTCTGGGAGCTGGTGAGGAGATAAAGAAATCAGCATAATCTCCGTGATGAAACCTTAAAAACAAAACATGATATCATAAAAAACATGAAATAGGTCATTCATCCGGACGGAATTGACTAAGACGGGGCCTCCAAATATGGTAGGCTCACGGGACCTCCAAAGTAATCATTGTTGTAATGAAATAGGTCATTCATCCGGACGGGATTGACTAAGACGGGGCCTCCGAGTATGGTAGGTTCCCGGTTCGCGAAGTTTGGTGTCCTCTTTATATTGTTTTATGAATTGGTAAGCAAAACAGGCTTGGGTTTCTTGGTACTCAGAATATACTCAGAAAACATCATTTACAGTCTTGTGCCCGTTACTAATATTCTCTATTCGTACACACTGCAGTTATAAATAACGTCGTCCAATGTGTATCCGTTACAACTGTAGTTATAAATAACATTAACATTATGGTTATGAATAACTTCGTCCATTCTTTATTCGTAAACATGTCTTCATTAACCAAGTCGGAGCAGAACAGTAGGACGTCGTTCAACCTGTAATCGTAAACACCGTGACTTTGGATAACGTCGTTCAACCTTTAATCTTAAACACCGTGACCATGGATAACGTCGTTCAACCGTTATTCGTAAACATCGTGGCTATGGATAACGTCGTTCAACCGTAATTCGTAAACATCGTGGCTATGGATAACGCTGTTCAACCGTAATTCGTAAACACTGTGGCTATGGATAACGTCGTTCAATTTTTATTCGTAAACACGGTAGCTAAGCTGCAATCCTTATTAGTAAACACAGTGCTTACGAGGTAAACTTTATTGGTTAACATTGTAATTACTAATATCGCTTTCATTTTATCATTGCGAACAGCGACGGTATAAAAACACAACGTTTAATTTTTTCGTGGGGTTTGTGGTTTAAGATAGGATATAACTAAGTCAGCCCCCTCCGCCCCCACCGCACCCGACTATTAAACCCAACAGAAAATGAGTGCTTGCGATGGCTATAACCGTTGTGTCGATTCGTTCAAAAAATAATCACTAAGCAAAACTCCCCTTCTGTGCCGCCGCCGCCCCCTTCGTCCACTAAACCGACCTGGCCGTCTTCGCCAATGTGATCCATACCAAGCATAGTTGTTGGAGGTCGTCTCATAGTTAGGTGAAGTTGTTGAGTAAACACTATTACAGGGTACGGGCGTTTCCCGTGTACATGCCCGGTCCTCCACAGAGCATGCATTACACATATTTTCCGGGTGGTTTGGGGAAAGCCCCTGCTCCATATCTTCTGATGATCGCCTATAAATATAATAAAATAATGTTAACACTGTCCGGAGATTGCATTGTCATGAAACGAAATTTTAACGTCCTACTTTTCTGACTAATGTAATGTGCCATAACGGCCATTTTACTCAGCAAGTGGCTTTTCCACCTTCTCTTCATCGTAGATGGGACCAGAACGGGATAGAGAAATGGGGTTTAACGTCCACTCGACACAAACTAGGTCATTTCGGGACTAACATATGGTTTAATTTTATTTTAATAATTCGTTTGCGCGTAGGGGTCTTTAGCAGTGGGAGGAAACCGGGGGACCTGGAGAAAACACAAGAGGTTGGACAGGCGACCCTACTCCTTGTCACGTACAACCGGGGATTCGAAACCACGCCAGTTCATTCAATGACAGGCCTTATGATACAGCACGCACGTGCTAACCATTCGGCCATCCAACCCTCCAGGACCAAAACGGAGGTTCCCAACCTGATTAAAACACAGACCCTATTTCGTTTCGTTTTTTATAGTTTAAAATTTCGTTTTACATGTCTTTACTACACTACGATCTGGAAGAGTTGTTATCATTGACGTGTTCTGAATGGTGTGAGGTATTAGCCAATGAAACGGTCTGTTACGGCGAGCTTTAGGCGTGTTTTGCACGGAACTGTGGGTAATCCACTAGTAACATCAATGCTGGTTGGTTAATCAAAAGTCTGACGTCATAGGGTCAAAAGCCGATCGTATGACCTCTGATGCAACCTATCACTACAACCGATCAGATTTTCATGAGTGTAGGCCATGGAAAGTATGAAAAAACAATCGAAATATAGATTTGTATTTTAATCAGATTGGGAGGTCACGTGTACACGTTGGAATGCACGTATAAGACCTCTTGACAGCTGGGATTCGATTTGAGACTATACCGTAGCGCTGCTGTCCGGATAACAGTTCGACCATAGTACACTATATGGTGTATGCCCATCTTCAGTAAAGTCTGTCCGGGAGACACTGTATAGCGTATGTCCGTCTTCAATGAAATCTTTACTCCTCATCACAAAAATAAACTCAGTATTTTACCCCTCCTATAAACGAACACAAAAATAAACTGTATACCCCGTCGTATACCCCTCTCCTCCTCCTTAACACAAAAATAAACCGAGTTGTATATCCCGCCTCGTCACAAATCTAAATTAAATTCTATACCCCCCCCCCCTCAATGTAAATCTAAACTATATAACCCTCCTCATCACAAAGTTTAAACTGATTTCTATACCCCGCCCCCCCGCCTCCCTCGTCACAAACCTAAACTGATTTCTATACCCATACCCCCTCCCGTCACAAATTGACTAAATTCAATATTCCACCCCCTCACAAACACAAACTAAATTGTATACCCCTCCTCCTTTATAGAAATAAACTAAATTCCACATCGATCCCCATCACAAATACACCTTGGGCAGGGGGGGGGGGTAAGACTATGGCTAGAATATTTGCTCTTTAAGTTAGCAGTATTATATTAATTAATATCTTGGCTAAGTCGTATCTAATGCACTCAAGAATGAGTGACAGATTGTTATATAAACAATTGTTATAATTTGGTTAACATAAGCTGGTTCCATGGGAATGAGAATATCATCTTTAACACGTGATCGGAAAATTACGATTGTATCATTTGGCTTAATTAACCAATCTCTATAATTATTCACATCATATTTTACCAATTAGATAATTGAAGGTCCAAAACCCAAAGCTACCAAACTATCATATTTATGAGCATTGGTCAGACAGCAGCTTGATTCCTGAAGGGAAAATATGTAGCAATTTCTATCAGCAGACTCGCTACTAAGATATGTAGTAAGAAAAGATGGATGGGTCATACCCAGATGTGGCGACCGGTGTGGCGTCGTCCGCTCTCCACGTCTGACAGAAAGACCCATGTTGCTACATATTTGAATTGGTTACCGTAACTCAAGATCAACCTTCAAGGGATCTACATATTTGATTTGGTCTCCGTGACTCAGTTTCGACCTTTAGGGTGGAAAAAAGAAATCTGGTGGAAAAAAAATTGGTGAAAAAAAAATCTGGTGGAAAAAAATTCTTGATGGAAATATTTGCAAAATTAGGTAAATGCATAATTTCTGAAAAATTAGACGTGTTATGTTGTATAACAGACCACATAATATTAAAATCAGGTTACAAATTAAATGTGCTTAAAATCTAACCGCATAGAGAATAAAATATAGTTATTTATTAGTTTTGATATGCAGATATATAAACAATATAATATCATTAGTTAGGTAAACTCGACCTGTAGTAAAATTAAACTAAAGTGGGTCTAGGGGGTAGGTTAAAAAAAAAATTGTGTATAACTAAGGAATAATGATAAGGAAACGGAATAGGGAATAAAAGAAGGAATTAATGTTGTCTCCGGATCAAAGTGGGAAGACGACAGAGCTAAGGATGAAGTTTATGAGTGATTACCACCTAGTTTCCATGTTTGGCTGGCTTTTTCTACTTTGATTCGTTAAAATGTGTGTTTTTGTGTCGTTCGTATATGTGTTTAGCTAAGTAGAGCTAATATAATTTTGAGACACTTAGTCCAAGTTTCAAAATTATGGTAGTTTAACTTTTAAACTGGTGATCAGGTGATTAACTTAGAGACTCCTTAGTGATAAGAAAAAGCAAGTTTTTTCATTGTGAAAGTATGGTAGCTGAAACAGACCAATAAAAATCCCAGAAGAAGAAATGGTTTACCAATTTACCAAATTGAGATTTTCTTAGACAGAATTTAAAGTGAAACCTGAATTTTATAGAGAGAGAGATATATATGGGGTTTAACGTCCACTCGACACAAACTAGGTCATTTCGGACTAACATATGGTTTAATTTTTTTATTTCAATAATTCGCTTACGCATAGGGGTCTTTAGCATAGGAGCTTTATAAATTAGAAGTGATGTGTTATAGTATTTTGGAATTAGGAAACTTGAAGATTTAAATAAAACATTTCCAGTTGTGTTTTCTGTGTTTAGGTGAAAGTGAATTTTGATAGAGCTTTTGGGGAGTTTTTGCATGCGACTTTTGATTTTTGTTTATTTGCGTTTTCATTGATACTTATATTTTTAGAACAGATTGACGCAGATTGTGATCTATGTAATCTTGTATGTTAACCATATGCATGTTACATGAATAATTATAGTAAGAAAATATGCATGACCCATACGTAGAATGTGGCAACCGGTTTGGCGTGGTCCGCTCTTCACGTTTGACAGAAAGAGCCATGGTGCTACAGGGAAGGGGTAAATAGAACTGTAGATGGTTTTGGGAGAGAATTGGATAGACAATTTGCTTCCGAAGATTTTCGTACGTTGCACACTCAAGTAGGGAGTATTTTTGATTTTCGACGACAGAAAGGGTACACGGATTACATAACCATTGTAGAACAGGTATATTTTTCTACACCCCTCTTTCTATCTCCAGCTGATGTGAGCTCAGTCGGAGAGATGACATGGCACTTCTGTGATGTTTGTTAGTCTGTGGGGGTTAGCGATTGAGGTTTTAACTAGCGTATAAGTTCTTAATTTGTGATGATTATCATTAGGTGGATAACATGCATCTGTTTGCAGTGAGTTAAATTTAGTTTCAAGTGGCATTTGTAGTTTAGGTTTTGTTAATTGATTTTTATCTATGTCAAAATAGTTCAGTGCCTAGGTAATGGAAGCTAGTCAAGACATTTTATAGTTAGATTTAGCGATTTCGGCATCCGCTTTAAGTGTTGCAACGAGGAGGCGGGTGGGGGGTGTCAATAGAGCTTTGAATTGTGAGAAGTCGTTTATAGTAGAGCAGCAGGCTTTTATAGATGTCGAGCTGGAGTGGAAACAACACTACTCCAGCTGGACACCCTATATTAGTGGTTTTGATTTACTAAAATAAGTAACTCCCAGACTGTCTCTGCTCTGTTACTAACAAACACCACAGAAGTGCCATGTCATCTCTCCGACTGAGTTCACATCAGCTGTAGATAGACAGGGGCGGGGGGTACAAAAATATATCTGTTCCACAAAGGTTATGTAACCAGTGTACCTTTTCTGTCGTCGAAGATGAAACACATTTTCCATTTGAATGCACAAAGTACGGAAATCTTCGGAAGTAAATTGTCTATCCAATTCTCTCCCAAAATGACCTACAGTTCTCTTTCATCAATACATATATTTGAAGGTTCTAATATATTCTACATGCATTCGTACAGATTGTAGTCATGTTTATTTTCTTTCTTATTGTTGTAAGCGCACTTTCTAAATTACATTATAAGATTGAATTAGGTATTATGTTCGATTTAGGCCTCTTTACGCATCGCCTTTGAATCAGTAGTAGACAAGGCAGCGTTTATCTATGTTTATGTATGTTTGTTCCAACGTGATATTTCATTCATTTCGTAATTGTATGCTGCAATAAACTTACTTATATTCCTCCCCCACAAAAATAAACTAAATTCTATATCCCCGCTCACAAAAATAACAAAATACTATACCACCCCCCCCCCCCATCCCCGAAAAAAATTATACTAAATTCTATATCTCTCTCATTTACAAAAATAAACTAAATTCTACCTAGCCCTCCCCTCATGAGTTCTATATCCCGCCCTCAAAAAATAAACTAAATTCTAACCCCCATCCCCTCCGCTCCTCTAACAAATAAACACAATTCTGTATCCCACCCTCTCACGAAAATAGACTAGACTAAAAATACATATCCCTCCAAATATAAATTTTATTTTGAAGAATCTGAATTCTACTCCCCACCCCACCCCCACCCCCAGTCAACACAAAATCATATTAAAAAATGTATACCCCCATATCACAAAAAACCCAACTAGATTCTGCATTCCTCGCTCTAACAAAAATAAACTAAAAAGTTATATACACCTCCATATATAAATTTTATTTTGAAGAATTTCAACTCTAAAACAGCCCCCCACCCTCCGGTCAACACACAATCAAATTAAATTCTATATCCCCCACCCCACCCATATCACAAAAATAAACTAAATTCTATATACCTCCCTATCACAAAAATGAACTACACTAAATTATAAATTCGTTCGCCCCACCCGCACACCTTTAAAACATCACCTAAACAATACCCCCCCCCCCCCACCTCCACTTCCACCCCCACACTCCCATCTCAAAATTAAAATAACTATACTTACACATATCTGTTTCCCTCGGTGATTATTCCCGTGAAAATAATTAAAATACATGATATGAGATAGGATATTGTCATAGTATCACGCGCACATCAACTTAACGTCTACTACTATAGGACGTCTGATTGTTTACTGGTACCTGATGTGTTATATCACGTGATCAAGGGACGGTGTTATTGTTGACGAGTTGATTTCTACGTCAATATAACCTCTCTTTCTGTTTGATATTCTGATTATCATTCCGATTTTAAATAACTTCTCATAGAACAATAATTCATTTTGAAACGCCTAGTCAGAGATATTAACGGTCCGCTCATTGGTCGGTGTGGAAATCAATACTGGATTTCAAATTTCAGATTCTATTCTGACGTTCATATAATATAAATAAAATCTCGATTTTCATTTAAATATATGTTATAATAAAACGAGAATCTATCTATACTAAATATATTGGGAGGAGGCTATGATCTAGAATGTCGTGCTTCTACCGCTAGCTGGCCGGTCATCTCTGGCCTACAGTCGCGGTTTCGATCTCTGTTGGCTTTGAGACCTGAACGACCTCAACCTCGTGGGTTTACTTCAGGTACTCCGGTTTCCTTCCAAGGGAAAAACCCTACGCTAAGATAATAAAAATGAATACACGACAGGTTGTCTGCGATATTGCCGTTGCAAGAATGTTTTAAATATTGTTTATATTGTCATTCTATACCTAGAGCGGTCATGATGGCTAAGTGAGTTACGAGCAGGTGTTGAACGAGAAAGCTCCCAGGGATTTCCTGCGAGGTTACCCCCTTGTTATTCATGTAAAAGTCGGATAGGACAAAACATCCGAGGTACTATGGCCGTATACACAAAGAACGGTTGGCAGTTAGAATTCGATGACCGACTAAACGTTCCCTCGTAGCATACTTCTAGGCGAGAGAGAGAGAGAGAGAGAGAGACTAACAATGGTTCAATTTTATTTCAATAATTCGTTTACACGTAGGGGTCTTTAGCAGTAGGAGAAACCCAAAGTACCCGGAGAAAACCCACGAGGTTAGACAGGCGACCCTACTCCTTGTCATGCACAACTGGGGAATCGAAACCCTGCCAGTTGAATGAATGACAGACCTTATGATATTTTGCAAAATGTTTATTGAGATGATATAATTCATTAAAATTATCACCATTTTACAGGCTGTGAAATAAGGTAAATTAAAAACACTATTTTTGTTTATGTTCATCATTTTTAAGTATTTAAAAATTAAAACAAGGTGTTAAAAAGAAAGGAACCATTTCAATGTAATTAAAATTTAAACTCGAAGTAAGTTTTTTAAAGTGCATTACCTCCAGAAGGAAGGTGATTAAAAAGCTATTTAAAGAAAGTCTAATTGACTATGACTGTTCGTTGGAAACTTGCTTCGAAGGGCGAAAGGCTTAAAAGTTCACGCGCTAACCATTTGACTATCCAATCTTCACACCTCCAGGCGTATGCCTGTCTTTTTTACCACACATACGACTTTTATTTTGTACGTCTCATTCGCTGACTTCCTCCAGTGTGAACATAGCTAAACTGTTATAATACGACTTTTATCGTGTACGTCCCATTCGCTGAGTTCCTCCAGTGTGAACATAGTCTAACCGTTATATATACGACTTTTATCGTGTACGTCCCATTCGCCGAGTTCCACCAGTGTGAACATAGCTTAACCGTTATTATGTTTTGTTAAAGTTGAATTTTAAAATGTTTAGTTGGTGTTTATGTTGAGAATGTTAAAAACTAACATGAACTGTTTCATTATTAATCAGCTGTGTTGACGGAACAACAAGTTGATGTTAGTCCGGTCAACAGACGCAACCCTTCCCACACCAGACTTAAACAAACTTTAATACTAACTTCATCAACAAGTCACAAGTCAACGAATAAACATTCCATTCAATTCGTTCTTCAATTAAACAATGGGATGGGTTGATTGGATTAACGTTGGCTTCCACCGATTGTGATATCGCAGGAGTGGACTGTGGGTTTAACTAGACCTGTATGGTGACAGAATAGAGCCTGGTCAACTAATAAATTGGAATGAATAGGTGTGTGTGTGTGTGGGCGTGTGTGGGGGTGTGTGGTGGAGGTGGGGGAGGGGGTCTAATGTGTGCGATTTAGATCACAAGGTCTGCTAAAGAACCCGACAAGGAAGTGAAATAAAATTATGCCAATCGTTGGTCCAAAAATGTCATAAAAGCTACATGAAAGTTTGGAAAGCGTTATGCCGTAAACGGGTTTTGCTGGAGCTATTCCTATCGTGAATAAAGCAACTTCAATGTTGTCCAATATAACTTAACTTAGGTTGCTGGCCTGAATTCCAATCAACCAATCAATCGTTTCGTCACACGGAGTGTCGGTCGTGCTGGAGTATGGGGAACTCGCCTAACCCGAGAATTTTGAAAATTTAACCGCCGCAGATGTGTTTTTCCGCTATTCTAGCCCGGAAGTAATGCAACTTTAATGTTTTCCAATGTTTTTTCCATCTAGAACCCACTCTTTACCACATGAATTCCTATCATCAAATAAGATTGTTTTTTTTATATAAACAATATTTATTCAGATAATGTTTATATAAAAAACAATCTTATTTGATGATAGTAATAAGACTGTTGTAGATGCATTCATAAATAATAATCAATGCACGAAAAGTGTAACACAAAGCAGTGTGGCTTCAGACCAAATGTTTTAATCCATAGTCAATTCAGTATAAATACGTGGTATTCTATAAAAAATAATGTTTTATTTGACTTCAGACACTGTATCTTACCAGCTAGATTTATATCATAGTATTTCTACGCTTTACCCGTCTGCCCAACAAGTCAGAATGACCAAAAGTTAGCGTGCAGGTACCCCCCCCCCCCCCCTCCTTCCCGCCCCTTCAGCAAATCCAAATTCAGGACAAGTTTTATTATTAAAATTGTTACAAATGGTCTCTGCGCAGTATCTGATGTCCCCCCCCCCTCCCCACCTTAAGCAGTAATTCGTTTGATTAGAACTAATCCCACTGACTAATTCCACATTTTTCTAATGTCGCAATTTCATATTTAAATTTTTATTAAAATTCTGTATCATTACAATTACATATTTCAAATTATTTTTCTTATTCTGGGTTATAATCGAGATATCGGCATCAGAATTCGATTAAAGTTTCATTATATTTGCAATAATGAAAAGTATTAAAGTATAGATTTTCTTGGAGAATTTAATACGTTTATGAAACAGTATCTGTAAATACGCCTATCAAGTCCCCAGTGGCATTCACTATTCTGCACCAAACCGACTAATGCAAAAAGGGGGTTGGGTGGTTTAGTGGTTTAAAGGGCGTATGACTCTAATCTTTAGAAGCTTAAAATAGAAGAAATTGGGTCTAAAAGCACATATTATTGTAATATGAATGTATATATGGCTCTAATCTTTTGAACCTTGAAATAGAAGAAATTGGTTCTAAAAGCATATATTAATGTAATATGAATGTACATAAAGTGATGTATATTCATTTTAACAAAAAAATTGTAATTATATTCGGCGAAATACGGGAACAGTTCAAGTTAAACGGTCATCTTTTAGGTCCATTCTACACATTTTTTAATAAATATTTTGTCTTTTGTGAATTCGCCATTAATAATAACTATCGCACCTTTTACGTCTACTAAGTCGATTCTAAACGTTTTTTAATTATTATTTTGTAGTTAGTGAATCGGCCATTAATAATAACTTTCGCGTTGTCTGGTAGGATATGTTTAGCTTTGTTCATTACAAATGGCGCCAGAAACAATATGGTACACGACTCGTGTACTGATTTTAAAATGTTCATCGTGTCTTAAATATTGGATATTAGGATCCAATATTTACACGGCAAGATAACAACACCAATATTGATTGAAATGGAGAAATATTGAATTACATTTCATGTTTTTAATTTCAAATATTATGGATAATATCGAGTTAGAGATAGCTATAGCTCCTTTAACGCGTGCTGTGAAATCATAAAGTCTGTTATTGAGTCAAGTCTGGATTCCCTCTATTGTACTTGACTGCTAACGATACCACATCTACGAGCAAGCGAATTATTGAATTAGAACTCAAGTTAATCTCTCTCTCTCGCCAACGGTTCTTTATTTGCACTACAACCTGTACACGGCCATGATACCTCGGATGTTTTGTCCTATCGAGTGGACGTTAAACCCCGAGAGGGAGCGAGAGAGAGCGAGAGAGAGAGATGGGATTTAACGTTCACTCGACACAAATTAGTTAATTTCAAGACTAACATATGGTTTAATTTTATTTCAATAATTCGTTTGCGCGTAGGGGTCTTTAGCAGGGGCAGGAAACTGGAGGACCCGGAGAAAACCCACGAGGTTGGACCGGATCAACTGGTTTTATTTGATCACTATCGCGGTGGAGAATTCTGAAATGACGAGAAAACGAAACTAGCTGGATTCACTATTTCTACACCTCACTCTTAGATGATTTTTCTCATAGAATTGAGGCCATAGGCGTACGAGCAAGATGGACATGGGGGCAGGGACAGTGCCCCCCCCCCCAACTTCCGGGCAATCTGAATTGTCGGGCAGACTGGCAAAGTGAACAAAATTAAATATTTGGCAAAATAAAGTGCCCAGCGTCCATTAAATCATTCTAATTGAATACATACCCAGAATTTGTATTGAATTGACTTTAAATTAAAATATCTTGACTGGAGAAACTCTCTTTTATTGGACATGTTTCCTTCAATGATTACTATTTGTATATGGTTGGAATTCAGGTCGGCAAAACCATCGGACCTTTTTGAAGTTCTTAACTCACGAGTTAGAATAGCAGAAAAACACATACGCGCGGCAGTTATCTTCTTCAAAGGGATTTTTCCAGAACAGGCCACCACAAATATATTTAATTTTCATTGAACCCTTTGCTGTATTTTAAACAGTAGCTACGCACTTGTAAACACCCCTATATTATATAGTAATGGTCTAGTCACTACAGTAGACTAATGTCGCTTTTGGTGCATCTTCTATAGAAGGCTTCATCTGGCTTTAACTCCTCACAGTCGTTGCTTCAGGAACATGTTTTCAGGGCTACGTAGGGATAAGGTGT